TGATAATGGACTTATTTCCCTAGACAGTACTATCTCCTTTTCTGATGTCTCCTTTAATGTCACAGTGATTTCCTGCTTTGCCAAAAACCTGAATCATCTGAGCTTCGGTAAGACTGACAGACTGACAGACATTCCCGGCGAGAAGAGAAATGGGTGCCCAGCTCAAGGCTGATGTTTTGCAGTTCTTCTGGCAATATTCTGAATATTCTAAGACCCCACTTTTCAGATGAGAAATCTGAGGAATTAAGTGACTTGCCTGAGTTCACACAGCTTATAAGAGGCATAAGTGCTTCTAAAGACCAGGCTTTGGGATTTAATAAACCATGCCTCTTCCGTTGCACTGTAGGGACCATGACTTCAGCAATTAGGGACACTTCTCCTCGCCGATGAAAACGTTAGAAATAAGACTTGAATTCAGGCCTGGCAGATGCCATGGTAGTGCACATTCATCAAACTATAGCTGAGTAATTGCTTTGTTATTCCATCATAAAAAAAGACATCATCCCTGCCTCAAGGAGTTCCAGTCAAGAGTAGGTGAGAGACATGGAGAATTAAACACAGTGTGATAACCTGCTGCCCTGCTGTACCAGAGGAAGGGAAGCCTCTTGCCTTGGGAGCCCTAACCCAGCCTGGGGTAGTGGGAAGGCTGTGACTTCTAAGCTGAGACTTGAAGAGTGTGGATAGAGGCAGAGGAAGAGCATATTATACGGGATGCTGTCTATACGAGAATGAGCCATTTATAATAAATACCTGCTTTTTACTACAAATTCTTTCCCTCCAAAGACTCCTTCATTTCCTTCCCTAACCTGAGGCTTTCTTTCTGAACGCAGAAGCATCCAAAAGCCTCCTTTATTTCTAATTGAACACTCAGGCTTAATTGATTATGTATTAAGTTGGGGACTTGGAGTGACATTCAGGCCTGGGCTCATGTTGAGATTAATTTATTCCTGTAGTCTTAGTGTTCCGCGATGCATCCGAGGGCCTCGTATGTGTGTTAAAAATAAAGCTGAGAGTCAGGGCGATCTAATTAGATGGCTTAACCCAACACTCTGGTGTTCAGTTTTCACCAAGCTCTCCGGCTTTGATGGTAACCAAAATAGATGAAAAAGTTAATCAAAGGTCTGATTAAATAACAGCTCTGCTGCCTGGACTGATGATTGCCAAGCTTCAGTTCAGGCACATTCTCAGGGGAGAGAAGAAACCGAGCTGAGTTTCAAAGGCCGGGACTTTCGTGTGGAAGTTTCTTATGGCACTCTAGAGAGAATCACTTGCTCAGTCCTCAGATCTTACAGTGATGGCCAGGTGGAAAGGTAACTCCGAAGAAGGGTAACGTGGTTTGGACAAAGAACACCCACCTTCTCCTGGAAGAGTCTAGCTGTATCTTTGCATCTTGCTTGCCGTACACTGCAGACACTCACGTCTGTGTGCCTGTCCTGTGCCCGTCCATCTACCTGTCCGTCCATCCCAGGTGTATATATGGTACTGGTTACGTATAAGGCATTATGCTTTGACCTTGCCATCCTTTGTTTAACTCGTCCTTATATTAACAGTATCGTCATGTTGGTCCTGTTAGGTCCATCCCTCCAGCTTCTCTCTCATCCTTGCCTGGCATGTTTGTATATATCAGGCTGACCCATAAAAGGCTGCATCCCTGATCTCACTTTTTCTCTGGTTTTCATTTGGATTGGCCAGAAGGGCCCCTTACCAGATTGGTGACCAGGAGAGGAGTGAAATTAAAATATTTTCCCGTTTCCATCCTGCGGGGGCCACAGGTAAACCGTGTCCTTCTACTGAAGTTGGCTGCTCTAAGCCAAGTAGCCTTACTCCTGAGGCTCACCCTTTCTGCATTCCAGCATCTGCTGGCCTTACCACGTCAGGCTGTGGGTGGAGACAGCCCCGAATCTCCTCTCCTCCAGTACAGCTCCTGTTATGCCCCTCGTTCTCCATGCCCTTTGGAAAAGAGCACTTTTGTTCCTCAGTTTTTCCTAGACTACCCAGTTAGAGTGCTGTCTGTTTCCAACCACACCCAGACTATAATGGGATGAAGTCAGCACTAAGAAGTGACTGCCTTTCAGAGGTGGCAGAAGGTCAGAAAAGCTGAGCAAACTTGTCCAAGGTGACGTAGAAATTAAATGATGGTCCCAGAATCTGAATCCATGTGTGTCTGACTCCAGAACCCAAGGACATATGATCTACATCCTAGAGACCCTTGTATTCAACATACAGCAGTTAAAGAGGTTTCCGTCTAAATATTGATGCCGCTCAGCCTGTGATGGGGTCCCATGCTGATAAACCCAGCATAAGTGGAAAATGTTGTTATATCAGAAATGCATATGATACCCCAATGACTCTTCTGTGTAACTGAACTCTTCGAAGTCAGGAACTGTCTTTATTTGGAAGGTAGTGGGGGAAGCAGGGCGAAGGGCGGGAACTTAGGTTTATTAAGTGTCTTTGGGGTACCAGGCAGTTGAGTCCTTCACTCTCCTTTAATGTTTATGTCAAGCACGTGATGTAGCTATCATGTGCATTTCACAAGTGAAGAAACAGAGGCTTATGAAGATCGAACTCCTTCTAGCCAGCTGGTGCCCAGACTTGGTCTCTGTCTCTCTCCCTCTCCTCCTCTCCCCCAACTGCTGCTCAGATCCAAGGTGACAGGGACTGTGCACACAGAGTTGGTGTTTTCTTTTCCTTGAGATAAACACATGGTGGATAGTTCAACCTGTTATACATTTTCTTTTTTCTCCGGTCCAGATTGTACTCATGTAAGCAACGGATGATTGCAAAACTGAAAATACCGACTAACTCATTCAATAGTTTCTAAGAAACAGTGGCAGTTGACAACATAGCTTAGAGCGGGTTGGGGAGGTGGAATGGGTCGTCTGCGTGTCAGAGGGTGTCCTTTCATGGCTTCCCCAGTTGGCTTCCTGTGCTCCTATTTTCTCACCATAACAGATATGATACATTTCAAAAGGATGTGGTGTTTTTCCTTTCTCCTGTGCAGCAGTAATAGTTGTTCATTTAAAGAAGTTGGAATGTATAGACCAGTCAGTTATATGTGTATATGTACAACAGCCCTTTAGAAAGTTTGTGGGAAGCTGAAATTAAAGTATAATTTTACTTTGATCTGTCTTTCTTTCTGGTGAGTACACATATCCTATAGCAAATTAACAAAACAGCAAACAAAAATAAGTCTTCAGGCTGGTTCCATAGTTTAGTGGTTATTAAGAGAACTGCATCCCACATGGCTAACCATAGTTTAAATCCTGGCCCCAGAGGCTTGAAAAATATACCGGGATCCTGTGCATGTATATGTGCCTCTAATCCAGAGAGGATGGAGAAATGGAGGGGAAGGATTGTGGCATGACCATGCCCTGTTGGGGGGGTGCTTTGTCTCTTTGTTTCTCTGTGTCTCTCTAGTGAGTACATGCACCCTCTGGCAATTAAAAACAGAAGTTTTTAAAATTAGAATTAGAAGGACAAAGGAGAAAACCATTATTTGTAGTCCTGACAAAGTGGTCATGTTAACCCTACTACAGCTTTTAGCCTCTTTAAAATAAGAAGTGTGCTTTCTCTCCTGTGGAAACTTAACTGTTGTAGCTAGAATGGGGCCCCTGCCCAGAGCAACCTTAATTTGCGACCTGCCTCCTATGAAAGCTTTCTTCTCATTGGTGCTGTGTGTTATTATTAGTATTCCTTTTGGATACCAAATGGGACCTTGCTAATGACTCCACTCTGCTGTGGGACATTGATTTGTTACATTAGGTGAGGACTGCAATGTCAGCACTGCATGGTTCCTCATTTCTGCTGTGTGTGTGCTTGTGTGTGTGTCTCCTCTATTGCTGTCAGATGAGGAGTATTGCATAGATTATAGCCAGGTCCCTCTAATTTGTTTATCTGAGAGCAGAGGAGCCCACAGTACAAATCTGGGTAGTTACAGCTTTAAAACAAATAAGTCAGTGTAATCTTTAACAACGGTATTAGGTTGTTGGAAAAGTCTTGACGTATTTTTCTATGTTTTGCTGTGCTAAAGTGCATCATGGCTTTTCCGACAACCCAATATTAAATTGAATTTTAATTACACAGAAATAGACTGTAATTTTAAGAAATAAACCTATCTTAGAAAATTAGATGCTAGTTGCAAAAAGTATATATGGTACAATTCAATTTTTGAAACTTTGTATCTTTTTTGGCATATTTTTATTTCCTCTGGTGAGCCTCTGTAGTTTTTTTTTTTATATTAAAAAATTTACTTAAAATGTGAGCATACGTTTGCATGTAATAATTATTTCATATTTTTTCTCTCCCTTGATTCAGATATATTTTTTTCAATAAACCTCACATGTCAGAATGTAAATGCATGAACAAATCTTTTTTTTTTTTTTTTTTTTTTGAGAGGTTTTTACTATAGGGCATGTGTGCTCACCAGAAAGAAAGAGACAGAAAGTGAGAAATCACCCCCCAGGGGAGATGGCCATGCCACAGTCTCTTCTCCAGTCTCCTCTTGGGATCCTGGGCACACATGCACATGGACCCAGTGTGAGTGTAAGCCACCAGGTATAGGACTCGAACCACAGTCAACTACATGGGAGTCCAGCAGCATAGCCATTACACCAACTGCTGGTCCCCATGCATGAACAAATCTTTAAGAAGACATTCATTTATTTATTCAGCAAGGCCTCTCTTTTTGGGGGGAGGGGGCTAGAGGGCGTGTGCATTCATATGAAAGAGAGAGAGAGAGAGCCCTCGTTCTCCTCTTGGGATTTTGAGTACGTACATGCACTCACTTCACATGTTTTTCAAGCCACTGGATCTGGGATTCGAACCATGCAGCAATGTGGGATCCAGCGTCCTTAACCACTATTTCCCTGGCTGGCCAAACAGAGTTTTACTTGGTACTTTTTATGTTGCAGACACCATTGGCAATGTTTAAGCAAAGAATTAATATAGTGATTTTTTTTTTTCCCCTTTCTCCATCTTCTTCTTTGTCCTGTTCTGTCTAGTCTGAAGTTTCCTGGATCCCCAACAAACATTACTCTGGGATTTATGGTCTCATGAAGCTTGTTCTGACCAAGACTCTTCCTGCCAACCTCGAGCGAGTCATCGTCCTTGACACTGATATCACCTTTGCAACTGACATTGCAGAGCTGTGGGCCGTATTCCACAAGTTCAAAGGTAATTGTAGCCCCTTTTTTTTCTGGTATCTTTGTAGATGTTGGCATGCTGCAAATACTGACTTTATTCACAAAAGGTGAGGTCAGTTTGAATGAGGTCATGCTAATAGAATGGGTGAGGAAATTCAAATAGACTTGAGTATCTACTTTCATTTGACATGTATTAGAGTAAAACTAGAACATGTTTGCATTTCGATTGTGAATGAAGTGGTCAAGTCTAGTTTATAGGAATAGTCTGATTTAGGCTGCTTTATAACAGATAAATATCAAAGCTATATATTTGGCCTGGAGGTAACTGAGTATCTACAAACCTCTGCCCGGACATGTGTTCGTTGTTTTCTCTTTTTCTCAAATGAGACTTTGCTTGCTGCGAAAGCCTGTGAGTTAGTGGAAATGGGTATTGATCATAGAGTGCTTGGAAATGTTACCATGGCTTTAACTTTTATTAACGTTAGGGTTTATTATCTCAAGGAGGTAGGTAAGTTTGACTTTATAAGACATTCTTTCTAGTCTGGCTGGTTTCTTCAGAGCTATTGTAATAACTCTTGTCACCGCCTCAAGGTTTATGAAAGTACCTGGTGGGAAGCCGTGAGCCCATTAACTGTATTTACCTCCACACAAATAATGTGAGAAGAGACAGGTTAGCACAAATCTGGGGTTATTATTTTAATACCCCTTTCCCAAATGTTTTCCTAAAAATTATATTATTTCAAAAACTCTTCTATATGGAACAGATACCATGAAAAAGTAATTCGACAACAAGGTTATTATTTTCTTCATTTCCTCTTTTTTTGTAAATTGCACTCTGGGGCCAGCCAGTGGTGTGGTAGTTAAGGCGCTCAATATCACATGGCCCACGGCTCGATTCAAGCTCTGGACCCAGCGACTTGAAAAAATACTCTGGATGCATGTGCATGTATGCCCCAAATCCTAAAAGAAGTAGAAGAGAAAGGATTATGGCATGACCATTTCCTATGGGGGATGCTTTCTTACTTTCCTTCTCTCTCTGTCTCTCTCTAGCACGTACACTTACTCTCTAGCAAATTTTTTTAAAAAAAAAACAATAAACCTAATTTCTCCTCTGGCTTCTGTATTTAAAATTTCTTCTGCCTCTTCTCTTAGCTCCTTATCTTACAAAGGTGAAATACCACTTAATGAGTTTAAATCACTGTGTTTTCATAAATCACAGGATATTCCGGTTGGCTTCTGCTTCTGTTTGTGGATGGAGAGTGATTCTCTTGCCCACTCTGGTCACTGCCTCTTTCCTTCTTAGGACATCTTAGCACTGAGTTAATTGAAGAAAGTCCTCCACATATTAGGAGGATGGCATTTTGATCCTGGGATTCTTTTTCTTATTGGGGTTAAAATTTACTTCTTTTTTTCTCCCCACAGAGCATATCTGCTCAACAGAGACAGAGAGAGGGGAGAGGGAATGAGGAGTCACCCCCAGAGGAGATGGGTGCACTGCAATCCTTTCCCCTCTAGTTTCTTCTCAGGCTTTTGGGCATGTAGCACCTCTGGGACTCGAATCTCACAGTCAGCCATGTGGGATCCAGCCATCTTAACCTCCACAGCACTTGCTGGCCCCAGATGTACTTTCTTTAGGGCCAGATTGTCATGCAGTAGTAAGACCCACTGATGTCCATAGAAAGGTTCCAAGGTCAAATCCAGAGACCATTCTGACTACACCAGGCACATGCGTGTCCACAGTCTGGAACTGGCTGAGGCTGAGGCTGGGGATGGATCACAGAACCAAGACCCAGTTGGGCTGCTGCCTCTCTGTCTCTGTCTGTCTCTCTCTGCCTCTCTCACTCAAAGGAGAAATAAATAAATAAGCTAGAGAAATTTGTTTTCCTGATCTGTGACAATAGCAACACTAACAAAGACACCCGTTAGCAAAACTGATTGTGTCTCAGTTCTCTAATCTCCTCATCATAGAATGCTTGGATATGTCTTTGTATTTTGTAACTAAATAAAGCAGAGCTTGGGGGAACCAGGGTTCTGCAAAGTTGAGAAGAGAATGCTTCTGGCTTGGCCTCCATCTGCTGCTCTTTCAGGTCTCCCAAATATTTCTGCTTGTTTTTCTTTCTGAGCACACTGAACTCATTGGAGGTAGTTTTTTCTGTAATTACATGGAGTTTTATTATTTTTGTACTGATGCTTAGTGTTCAGTGATGCTTTTAGGTAGCTAGCATTTATTGTACCCCATACTGGGTGTCAGATAGTGTGCCTGCCCCTGGAAATAAGGTGAATAATAAAGGGACAGTGAGAGCTGTCACCTCTCCTGGAGGAGGTTAGAAGAGGCAGCTGGAAGGCATGCCAGAGGAGGGGTAGTCATTACTGTCTCGTCAGATGAGATGTGGGTGTATGCAGTAGGCACCCACATCTACCTTTGGAAGTAAAGGATTTCTACTCTGTAGCTATTGGGAGTGCTGCCTACAGAGAGAGGGCCCTCAAGTGTCAGCCCTCCTTGGGGCTGGCCTCACTGGAGAAGGTCACCCTACCTGTGGCTGCACCCCCTTCCCACCACCCCACATCATGGAGTAGCTGATTTGCATGTAGCCCTGCAAGGTCAACTGCAATACTCACTGGAGACTGCCTCGTACCTTGGTTTCTCTCTGGCCAGCCCTTCCCTTCCATAGGTCTGTCCCCAAGAGTTGTCACTATTCATCTCTTGCATTCTGACTTCCATCTCAGCCAATTTCTAGAGAGCTCAGTCTGCAGTGTACATTGAGAGAATTAGGCTCTTCTGTGGATAAAACTACCAAACACCCTGGGCTGAGTGATCAGAGTGTAGAGTTGTAGTGAGGAAATCATACTCTACTGTAGCCTCAGTGCTAGTGGAGTTCCGTAGCCACTAATAGCAGCAATCATTAATAACCATGGTTTTCACATTCCCCAACATGGTCTATAGAAAGGCAGACACAAGGACTTGGGTTTGGAGGGCTTAAATTGAAGGTGGTTCCTGGGGCTGGGCAGAATATATGGGCCAAGGTCAGGACAGGGATAGGGAAAATTTCAATGCAAGGAGCTGAGTTAACAGGCTGCATTTTATTGGCTCATTCTTTTATTTGTTTATATCTGGCATTTGCTAGCCCACCCCTCACCTACCACCACCGTGCAGCGGAATCTGTTACAAGCCCTTGTCACCTAAAGCCGTTGCGGGCCTTGCACCTACCCTCCAGCAAGCTCACGGACAAGGCAAACTGTGTTACTGTATATATGACCAGCAGAGGCACATAAAGCATCTGAGCTTTCTCATGCCCACTCTCAGTGTTACAGAAACCACAGAGGTGAACACAAAAGAAGCAAGCTCTTCTCCATTTGTCACTCTTTTGTATATTTTTGTTGTTATTGTTTTTCTCCCTAATTGGGGGCTATTAGAAGTAAGATCATAATGTAGGAAGTATCTTATGACCGACCCATAAATGCAAAATGTTCTGGAACATGAGGGAGAGTTCTCCTCTCCTAGAGGCCATTGCAGTTGGCGTCTTCCGTTGTAGACATTTTGAGTGACACTGAAGCAGTTTGGGGACTTGCTAGTTTTTCTCTGTTTTAGAATATCTACTTATCTGGGACTGTGGTTGTTCTTGTGTTCATGTTACCCATTGACTTGATTCCTTAATGGTGCTGTGAAATCCTTTTATACCTAAATCCATTATGTGGAGACTCTACTAAGAAGCCATTATTTAAAGACCTAGACTCACCTCAGTCTGTACTGTTGATGTAGAGGCTTGCATGCCTTTTCGAGGTGTCTCCATTTCCCTGAGCCTTGTCTTCACCTCAGGAACAAATACCTCACACCCCAAGTAAGCAGCCTGCACCCAGCCTGTGCCAACCCCTAGGAGATTTTCAGAGCCACCAATTCTAAGTAGAATGAATTGGACATACTATTAATAGCTAGGCTCAGGAGTCATCCATTCTGTGATATTTTCTGAGTTCTTACTAATTGCCAAACACTTTTCTGACTGTTAGGCATGTTGCAATAATAAAACCAGTCCAGTTTCTACCCCTGAACCTTTTTATTTGAGTGGAAGGAGACAGGTAATAAACAAACAACTAAAATGTATAGTACATTAGATAGTGATTAGAGCTCTGAAGGAAATTAGAGAAAGGGGAAATGAAAGCCTCTGTGTGTGTGTGTGTGTGTGAGAGAGAGAGAGAGAGAGAGAGAGAGAGAGAGAGAGAGAGAGAGAGAGAGAGAGAGAGAGAGAGAGAGAGAGAGAGAGAGAGAGAGAGAGAGAGAGAGAGAGAGAGAGAGAGAGAGAGAGAGAGAGAGAGAGAGAGAGAGAGAGAGAGAGAGAGAGAGAGAGAGAGAGAGAGAGAGAGAGAGAGAGAGAGAGAGAGAGAGAGAGAGAGAGAGAGAGAGAGAGAGAGAGAGAGAGAGAGAGAGAGAGAGAGAGAGAGAGAGAGAGAGAGAGAGAGAGAGAGAGAGAGAGAGAGAGAGAGAGATAGTTTTAATATTGAAATTTGGTAGTAATGGAAGATCTCAACCCCCCCCCCAATGGCATTCAAGCAAAGACCTGAAGAAGCAGTGAAAACAAAGGAATAAGCAAACATACCTGTATGAAAAAAAAATGGTGAAATTATGTCCTATATACAAATAATACATAGTGGAAACTTTGCTGTGAAGTGGATGGGCCTGTTTGAGAAATAGGATGAGAATCCGAAAAGAGGAGTGAGCCCAGTAGAGGGCTGATCTTGGTCAGGTAAGATCAGGGAAGGCCTTCTTTGGAGGGAATGAGAAGACTTTGCCTTCCTTTTCTGTAATTTGAGGAGCCATTGGTGGGCTTTGAACAGAAGCATGATTTCATCTAGTTTCTGTTTCTGATGGGTCATCCTGGCCACCTTTTAGAGAATGGAAACCATTCAGTGGAAGCAGGAAAACTGTTTAGATGTCTGTTCCATCCTCCAGGTGTGGGATGATTGGCTCAGACTCAGAGGAGCAGTAGAGTCGTCACATGAGGGCACATGTTGGAGGTCAAGTCCTCAGATATTTTG